GCTTCGATCGTGCGTTCGATATGTGAGCTTTTTAGCTACTTATATAATATATTCCTTGTCACTTACTTGTGTAGATAATTTTTAAAGACTACATACATATAAATGGTTTTTTTTTTACAATTTTAATGATAAAATGAACTCCTCCTGAGGAGGCAAACGGTGTGTTGGATGCTATCTAAATGGAAATGTGTTTTTTTTTACATAATTTGTTTATCTAGTGACTGTAAATAATATACTTTTTATGTTTAAATTGATATCTAGAAAACTTGATGAACACCTTTATACAACACAAAACAATTGATTAAAAAATGAGTCAAATTAAGGTACCGCACCCCTTTCTTTACAATATGTAGATATACGATTGGAATTGACAAAAAAATGCACCGGTCCAATAATTTATTCTCAAATTGAGCGGCAACCCGTGTTTTTTTCACTCCCAGTCATAAAACTTGAAACGTTTTTATTCTTTATGCAATCCAATGATTTAGCACATAATAAATATATACACCACTCCTAAGAATATTGCAGAGGGAGAACTTATCCGTTCACGTCTCACAAAGAATAGTAATTTATCAATAAACCACTTGGTCAGATAAATAATGCGCTTAGCATGGTCCAGCATTATTTGCCTCGTTTCTGACTTTCATCTGTAGAGTGATGCAGTTGTACTGATTGGGGTTTACATAATGTAACTATGTGATAGTACTTACGCATTTCATTTATTTATATTTTTCTTGAAATTGATCCCTTATAGTAATATATACGTCTCTGCTTATACATTTCCCCGTTATCTCGTCTGAGGACATTGTTGTTAAATTGAAAAATTGGAAGACACATAATCTACACCAATTGCAATCTACATACTAACTTCAGGTACCCCCTTGCCCTCTTGCTGACATCCCTTTGATGTCATACCTGTACACAGGTACATAGGTGTGTCTTCGGCCTCCTGCTGTCAGCACTGGTGAGTGGACACAGGTGTTTAGTGTTATTTACCTGTACCCAAATTTCACACCTAAGTATGCTAAGGGAGTGGATCGAGAAGATTTTCATTATTTAAATATTTACATAAGATGTTAAATTATAACTTGTGTATGCTACATGTATGGCAGAACCATATAAAGCCATATTAAAGTATTTACGTCTCTGATGTATAGGGAGAAACAAAAATGTTTGAATCTCATAATTCAATTATATTTTCGAGATGAATGTAATCACGGAATTATATTACGTAAGTTTGTTATCTGATTTAGCATCGCATACATAGTTTCTGTAATGTGTACACTTAAATGTGTAACTGTCGATATTTTTCTGTTTATTTGAATTGTAGACCTAACATAAGGAAGACACCATGTCGTCGATTTGTCATTAAACGATTATACTAAAAATAATGACATAATGTTATCTTCAGCATTATGTGATTCCTCATTATATTGTCTATTATAATAAGGTATATAATAATGTGCCTGCGTGATAATAAAAATCTCTGAAAAATCTCTGAATCAAAACTAAAACAAAAATGTATTCGCAATCTGACGCTGTTTGACCATGGCTGTTCTCGATATCGCCTATACCTTTGATGGTGACCGCTAGCTACAGGCGGTGAACTTGTGACGTCACGGCCTATAGGGACCGATTCACCGAGAGTTGCGATTATGCTAATTAGTAGAAGGACAGGTGAAAATCGTACAATTTACAATTCAATCAATCAATCATTTATTTTATTTAAGTGTCACATGTTAATACAAACATAAAAAACAGGTATCTGAGAAATTTAAACATAAAACTATATTAACATTCAGCCATCAATGACTTATGAGACACTATCAATCTTTAAAATTACTTCAATAGTCCATACCGAAGAAATTATAAAATATTACAAAAGGGAAAAGATAAATTAAGAACATTTCCTAAATTATAGGATATATGTACTTAGTAAAAGATGCTGTAAATAATTTTGATTAGAAAAATCCTTATATACAATTTAAAAACATCCTCCTTCTTCGTAACATTAAATATACAGTTTTTCCTAATAAAAATTAGATATTTGGATTGTCCATTAATAAATATAATTTTTCATTACTATCACAATCTTTGAAAGTTTCACAAGAGTTCTCCATCTAATGAAATAGACTAAGTCTTTGGTCACTATACAAAGGACAGTCGCAATTTGTTTCCATTAACAAGGCCCCGATCGTTCCAAAGTCGGCCGAACCAGTCACTTTCGTCCTTCTGTCTAACATTAGTGTTAATGATATTTAAAGTGTGGGCAGGGGGTTTGACTCCGGATTCCAAAATGTTACGTAGATTATACTTTTCGCTCAGCCGAAGTGCTCGCGCGTCCCACGAATTATGTCTCCGCTTCGACCAAACATGAATTTTGTATAATAAACGTCCGTGATCAATTGAATTAACACGGCAATATAGACGAAAAACTTCAGTCCGTTGTTTACTGGGGGAAGATAACCATCCCATGTCTCCAATAACGCCAACCTTCGATGTATTTTTTGTCGCACCTATGAACACCTTCATAGCTCGATTCTGAACATTATTAATTACTTTACACTGAGATTGACCCCAGATGGCAGAACAATATAATAGAACAGGTTGCATAAGGCCTTCATACAACTTTGTAAACACAGCGTAGGTCATTCCACCAGCACAGTAAAACTTGGAAATAAGCAGACCTGGGGCTCGACTAGCAGATTTTGAAAGTTCTTTCACAGCCAAGTTCATATCATCATAGTCATCGAACCAGAGACCTAAGTATTTATAACGGTCCGTACGTTCTAGTGAAAGTACGTTGCAATGGAATGTATGTTGGGTAGCCGATATGCTCCTATGTCTGAAATGCACAATCTTGGTCTTTCCAGCGTTTACCGATAGTCGCCAGCGGGGAGCACCAAGATGACACGATGTTAAAAAGAGCTTGGAGGTTATCCTCTGATGACGTCAACAACACAATGTCGTCCGCATAAAAAAGACAACCTAAACTGACACCGTCAATGTCAATACCGTGTTCTGAAGAATTTAGCTCTTCAATTAAGTCATTAATATAGATTGCAAAGAGTGTCGGGGAGGCTAAACAACCTTGTTTTACACCACGTGACACAGACAGCCAATCAGTATGCAGATTGTTGACGCGTACACAACATGTAACACCGTTGTACAGTGCAAAAACAGCATTATAAATTTCTCCTTTTATACCAGACTGTAAAAGCTTATACCACAAATAGTCTCTGACGACCGTATCAAAGGCTTTAACGTAGGTCTATAAAACACGAAAACGTCGACTGCTTAGCATTTATTCGGTTTTTCACGATACTAGAAAGCTGATCCTGACAACTTCTGTCCTTGCGAAAACCGTTTTGGGCATCGTGTAGAATACCATGTTTTTCCAGCCAGGCGCTAAGACGACGGTTGAGGATATCACAATAGACCTTACAGGGAACGGACAACAAGGTTATACCCCGATAGGTTAATGGTCCATAGGGTCAGTGCTGTTAGGTTTTACGATCGGATTGATCAAACCTTGTTTCCATTTATCCGGAACAACTCCATAGTTGAAGCAATGGCTAATTAATGAAAACATAATATCCACACAAGCGTCATTTTTGAGCACTTCCGCTGGAATATGGTCGATACTTGCAGCTTTTCCAATTTTTGTACGCCGTAGTGCTTCCATATCTTCCTGACGTTGAATAGGTGCGTTAAGGATGGAAATATCCAGATCATGCTTTAATGGAGCCGTGTTTTTTGCAACACGCTCCTTAACCATATCAAAATGTTCCTTGTTATACATTGGAGTTTCCTGATCCGTCGCGTACAGGCTCTCGTAGTCCGCTAGCCAACGCTCGAGGACATCTCGCGTGTCAGTAATAATATTACCATCAATATCTTTAACCTGTAGAGGTATAGCCGTAGACTTGTCATTTACAATCCCAATTTTCCCGAAATCTTTCCAAAAAACCCTCGAATTAGGTTGCTCAAGGTTATTATGCAATTCACTCATTTGTTGCGCTTGAAACTGTCGTTTAATTTACACGTCAATATCTCGGTATTGGGATGACCGATTTTTATGCGGTTTTCGACATTTTTGTTTTTGGATCATATAGAATAATAATATATTCATTTCTATTTTCGCTCAGGGTACACTTTAAGCAGGTAATAACAACTTCCATTTTAAGGACTTTGGTATGTTCCGGTCTGGGGACTGCCTTCCTCACCTGGGCGAACGCTCAATATTCAAGCCAAATGTGAAGTGTTGCCAATCAAGGCGCTAGAAATTTAAGGTAGTAAGAAGTAGAAAGATCCCAAATATTGCAATGGGCGCAGCAGATTTATTTTGGTCACTTAATTTTTGTGTCCCCAAATAGAGGACATCAAAGCAAATCCCCAATTCTGCAGCGGGTTCCCCAATTAGTCGCCTCCTACGATACAAAGTGAATTTTTTCCCGATGCTCTACTTGCAGGGATGAATTAATCTGAGAAAGATATGTTCGATAGTTTTTGAGAAATAATGATACCAAGAATATTTTGGGGACAAACGGACAACTAACAACGGAGCACGATCGAAGATCGACTTGATAAGCCCAACTTATGATTATCATATGGTTGACAAAAAATAGGCCTACTAGGCCAATCAGAGACGTATATAACAATTATGTAATGTAAGTTTGAAACTCTTTACACAAGGTGGCATGTACATGTAGCCTTAAACCAGAGACGTATATATTACGTAATGTATATATGTAATATCAGGGACAGTATATACGTCCCTGGTAATATATACGTCTCTGCTTAAGGTCCAATTAGTGTTTGATGTAGATGAGTATGTAATATATATATTTCAATTAAATAACAAATTGTTAATCAAATGCATGATAAAAATATTATTAAAATAACATAGAACCAGAGGCGTATGTATTATACGTCTCTGATAGAACACGTGGAAGTTGTGTGTCTTAGTCGTGCGAATCTGCGGCTACGAATCTGCAGATATACGATGGGATTTTCAAGTCACGTGACCTGTAAAAAGTGAGCTTCCTGTTGAGCACTTCCAGTGGACTGTTAAAGAAGTAGGTATAACCCACTCTTCGTGTTTTTGTTGTAATTTATCAAATTATAAGACTGCTTACTATATTTGATGTTAAACTAGGTCATTTAAGGGAAGAATGTCTTAGTTTGTATACATTTTACAAACAGGTGTCAAATATTGCAGCGGATAATGTAATGGCATTCAACCGTCTCCTCCTCCCAAAAAGTATCAACAAACAAGTTACGTCTATCAAAATTATGTCGATGGCCCGCCTTCGAACACACTATTAGGCGGTTCTGTTTCTTTTCCATTTTGTTCTGATATTAATCCACCGATTCGGATATATGAAAGAACAAGTTGTTGAATATTCGTCAGTGTGCTTTGAGTGGGTGGGAACAGACGACAGGCGGATAATCAAAACAAACACACGTCACATCGTGTGTTCAATATATATACCCATCCTGTAATAACCGGTCGTAAAATTGTACACACATTCTGTTTAGTTTTCTTCTATTGTTTTGTCGTTTGAGTATTTATTCTACTATGTATAAGAGTTGTCTTTGCGTGGATAAGGTTACGGATGCTAAGTGTTCCACCCTTTTGTAATGTATTGTGTATTGGCCTAGAGGTCATGACGCTTATCACAATCCGGAGTGCATAATACTTGTGAAATATGTAGGAAATCCGGGTGTGGTCTGAGATAATTTGACCTGCAATATTACTGGATAATCACCTATCAAGTTTTCAGAATCCCTTGATTTATGTAAGTGATGTCCAATGACAAATTCTGGTTTAATAATGTATTGAATGACCAATGATATGGATTCTAATCACTAAGTATTCATAGGTGTTTGAAATTCTGACTGTGAATTGAGATAAAAAGCATATAAAAAAATAAGGGTATTACTATAACAGTCAGAATTTCAAACACCTATGAAGTATTGTTAAAAAAAATACTCGCATTCAAAAGCTTGATGCGCTGTGATTCTTCCATTGTCTTCATAAACACTTTCATTCCCAATAGATGCATATGCATGAAATTCAGTTGATATTTGATATGTAATGGGAATAATCAATTATATAAATTGTCAATAGTGTATTTTGAGGGAATTTGGTTTCATATCATGAATGTGTCTGTTGCAATTTTTATAAACTTCGATTTTTGTCCCAGCCAAAACACCATGACTACTGGTTAAACAGTTCTGAATCCCCTTAATTCTCCATTTGTCAACATTATTATTCTACCTTAAGCCAATATTAGATAATCAATTTTATTTATAAATGAAAATAGATCTATACAAAATAAATTTTAGACAAAAAAGAATTTCAGACAATCAATTTCATAAATTTATGTTAAGTCAAGATCTTTGCCTATTGACTTTATAAAAATAAATACAAAATATTTCCAAACCAACCAACCCTATCATTTTTTTAGAAAAAAAACAGAAAAGCACAATAATTGTTTATATGCCTCAATATGGGCTAAAACAAGTTCATTTTTCAAGTTCCTGATAGTTTATTAAAGTAAAAGTGGTTTACTATATTGAGTTAGTGTGACCATCAATTTAACCCATTCAACCGAAACAACACATTTGAACCTTACCATACAAGAAATGTGGCAAATCCAGTTTAAAACTAGGGGTGAATGAGTTAATTTTAATAGCTTATTAAATTCTAAATATATAAATCTTGATTTCATACTGTCTTATGGTTCATATTATTGATGCGGTTGTTATATAAACATTGTACATTTCAACATATATGTATGTACATATACTTGATTTGGTTATATAAAACATTCCTACAAAACTTTTACAAAGTATATTTTGTCTACATGAAAATTATTCATGTTTTACTTAAAAAACGTCCAGTACTATGTATAAACATGTCATGATCAACTTTATCTGATATCTTCTCTTTCAATGATTGACTACACTTCACTGACTGTTATTACCATATATTTTTTTCATAAATAGATTATGAAGTTCACTTATACTGCATTTGTTTGAAATGTGATTCCATTTACATTACAGAAAGAAACTGGAAATGTGAAACTTTCTGATTGGATATGACAGGTCGCATTTTACAAGACCGTGGACGGATTGCTAAAACACGATGAGTAAGTGTTGTTACATGCTTTCTTCCTTTATTAAACAGCAGGAGATCGGCTTAAACCCAAATACATCTTTTAGCATTATATGAATATTGCTTTGCATATGATATATTTGTAGATTATAATATTATTGTAATGTAATAATTTTCATACACATCATATACATTGTGTTACACTGCCTATACATATATGGATGAAATTATGCTCTAGATCTGTTGATCATGAAGCCCAATTTTCATCCTGCACCGGTAAAATCCATATTTGTACTGCTGTACGTGTTTCTTTTTCCATTCGGTATATAATATATTCATCAAAATTACCAACAAAATGTGAAATCCCATAAGATGTATTATCTGTACAGATAGATACATATATATGATTATACTGGAAATAAAAAAGCATATACATGGCTTTAAATCTCATGAAACATCTGACATTCCAAACACCTTTCTTTCTAAATTTTGAAATTATTTCAACCAACCAGCAGACATAGCAACATTCATCAGCCCTTTTATAATATTCTTTAAGCGAACAAGCTTGATCAATAGTGCTAACATGTTTTCTCAAAACCTATTTTCAAATTGGTTCTACCATCCCATCAGAGGACATCAGAGAAAATTCAGAAATTGTGTTTGTGCTTGATCTTTTTGTATATAATGGTATTATTACAGTTTCTTTTATCTACGTATATTTAATATTCATTTTGTCCTAAAACAGGAGCAGGTTGCTTTCAATGTTTAACAACTAATGTTTCCATATGACCGTAGCTATCACTGGAGAATTAAATTAGTATAGTGAACAGATGTCTGTAAAATAAAAATAAATGAAGTGATAGATATACCATGTACTATATTGTAACTTTTAGAAGCCATATCTGTAAGTGATATGATATTGTACGAAAGCCTTCATACTCATAGATATAATTGCTGTAAATTTCTACTTGTCCGACAGACTCATCTAATTTTATGACCAAATTTACTCTTCCAACAGCAGAAAACACTTGTAAGGATTTAAAGCATACAAGTACTTTTCTCAATGGTGACAAACGTTGGTAGTGTTCTGGATATTTTACAGTAAAATATGCTTATTATGAAGATTATTGTTGCTTGTTCTTGCTTATTGTTTTAAAGTCATCAGGCAAGGATTTGTCTCAAAACAAATGTTTAATATATGTGTATGTACATGGTTAGTGGCCATACAACCTAAGATTGCTGCATTAGTGTTCTCATGGTCCAGGTATTAGGTATGTACATGTACATATGTGAAAGTTAGCCAACATGTTCTGCATGAATGTCACTCAGAGATTACCTCCCTTACTGGATATTAGGGGTGGGAATTGTAACTTTATGATTATTTAGGAAAATTTGCTGTACATTTCTATTCCTACGACAGGTAACAAGCAAACTATACACAGTCAAATTGTTAAGTAGGGTTAAATTATTGGAATCCACATGTACACAAGTGCACAATTATGCTGCAGCTTCCTTGAATGGACCTACACAATTGTTTGCTTCTGGCACCTTACACCAGGATATATACTACACTTACTGGACATACATAATTTACACACAAAGGGCTTAATTCTAGGTACCCACAAGGACTTCACCCATGATAGACATGGAATAAGTGTTTATTCTTGGATTCCAATCAGCTACACTCCACAAAATAGACATTAATAATTAAGGTCTTATTTCTGGACCCCATGTATTCACTAATTCCTCGATCGTACATGAGACAGCATATGTAGATCTGTTGGTCATCTTACAAGAGACCACCTAAGAATTGACATGCAAATAATCATTTTTAGAGAAGTTTTCTTGGACCCCACACTTGGAAGTATCCTGCATGCCATTCATGACCTTGACTGTCCTGGAATCAGTGTGTAGTCTTAGCTACATCTATGCAATTCCTATTGAGAACTTGATCAATTCCTGACTGGTCATGATCAGTGTCCAGTACCATTAAATAAGCTATATGGTAGCTATATAGAGGTCACTATACCCTCATCACAGACACAGTGGTCTGTTTTCTATCAGAGGTACTTGACCTGAATGAATAGTGTTACAAAGATTTATAAGTGTGCCAGAGAAAGTGTAATCTATATTTACTAACATGTATCACCTACTTAGCTCAGATAAACAAGGCCACTCTCTATCTGTCCCATTAATAACCAGATATATTGTGTCAGTGAACTTACAATCTGCCCTCCTAAGAGCTCCAGGCTTGCCTTGGATCTAAAGTGTCAAGTTCTAAAACAAAAATTGTAGATGCTGTATGTGGTCAGTAAGATAGAAACAGGATTGACAACAGACTCTTCTGATCATCACTTTCGTAAAATAGAAAATAGGTTCATAGCTACTATTATTACCTGTCTAAATGTCCTTCTTAGAAATGGAATCTTCAATTTTCACTCTTGAAAATGTCAATGACTTGTAATTATTTATCTGTATGTTGTGTACCATATATACTAAAGATATGGAATCAGATATGGAATCTTGATCTTATATATTTGTGGGAAGTATAATGGTTCTGATAACGCCAAATTGCAATATTATATACAGTGTATATACACTGAAAGACACAGTATCAACACTGACACATACTGTAAAATGTGATGTATTACAGTGGTTTATCTAGCTTTTTATAAAGTGAATCCTTTCCTATCACATTCTAAAATGCAGAAAGTAATTCTATGAACAGTTAGTAAAATGATTGACAAAATTTTGAGTATTTAACTTGACTCACAAGTAAATAAAGTGCTGTGTTAATATTATACCAGACCGTGTAAACACATATAAATGTTGATGTTGCTGCTTATTTATAAGATGAATTGTCATTAGGTGGAATTAAAGAGGGAAATGGCAGACAGCACTGATCAAAGCATACTTGACAGCTTACTTACATTTGTAAAATGACTTGTGTATTTAATTCAAGCACTTAAATTTACTGTGAATTTAGGTTATAAACTGCTGATTCATCTGGAGTTTTAAATATATATTTATTTCTATACAATTCTGATAAGGTCCTGAATGGAAATACACTGACATAATGGAAGTATGTTTACAACACTAATGTATATAGATAAGAATTAATGAACTCATTTAAAAAGAAAAGGTTATACAATCCTATATATTCCATATTGTTGCATAACGATATGTCATGAACAATTTCCTAAATAAATCACAAGTCAACGCTGTTAAACCCAGCTGGCATCGCAGAAGTACAAACTGAAAATAGCCTCATAAACTTGATAAAATGGCACATTAGTAAAGCAGCCAGGGCCCATTTTTCTCTATAACAGGAAGATAATGTGTTATGAAATTACCACTTTACTAGTAGGTAGCAGTGAGTTCAGGGTACATTACACAATGTAGATGCTATTGTACAACTTAGATTTCAATCATGAATGCCAACTATGTGTGTCACTCATTGTAATGACATATATTTATCCATTGTCATGTATATGATTTGTTTCTGTTGTTTAAATTTTGACTGGTGACATGAGGAAATATTAAAAATATTTTGTTTACATGTACCTATTGTCTCAAACTTAACCTCACTGACAGCAAAGGAAAAGGGGCTGAATATTAAGACATTGATTTTTTTTTACCTTTGAGTTAAGTGTGGATTGAAGTTTTAGATGTATTCGCCTGTACAAAGATTAAATTCTTTCTGTTATCTCATTCACCAAACATTACTCTTGCACATGTCCATGTTGACACAATGAATAATGTACATTTTTATTTTTCTAGTCTGCTACTTCTGTATAATCTTTTTTTCCTTTAAATGTTTTACCTGGAGTTTTATAAACAGCCTAATATAAGCATGCTTTTTTATTATTTCAATATAATGTTTATAATATTTCAACCAAATAGCAGTTTATGATTTTTTTCTCTCTAAAAGTATATTTCAGTATGGACCAAGTTAAGATGAATACAAAAATCTTGCCTAAGGATGGACCTTACACATAGTGAAGGTGCTATAAAGTACACCTGGCTAGCTATCAACCAGACTGTTGTACAATGTATGTGTATTTGATAAAGATCTATGAATGTGATGGGCTGCTGCATTAGTTATAACCCCTGCTGCTGTATCTGTTTTGAGTCAGAGTTAGTGCCCTTAATTGGTATATTTTCATATGAGTCATAAAGTTCACTTGCCAAAAGTCCTCACGATCCTTTCTGTGAATTTGTTATGTGCATTGGTTATTATGTAGAAACAGGTTTAGGTGTCTCTAAATTTGTTTTTATATTGCAGGTATCTACTGGTATAATATCTAATAAACATCTTAATAACCATAATGCCCAGGGTAATGATATTTGGTCAGTAGCATGCTCGGATACAGGGCTATTCAGTTTTTTCAAATGAATGACCTTGACTACTAGTCAAGGTCACATAAGTCAAATATGTTCGAAATTTTGAAACAACTTCTTCTGGAAAACCATGAGGCCCAGAATGTTGATATTTGACCAGTAGCATGCTTGGATGATGGGCTTATCAAGGTTTTTAGGTCACCTGAGCTTTAGCTCAAGTGACCTATTGCTATCCGTTTTCGTCCGTCGTCGTCCGTCGTCCGTCGTCCGTTAACATTTTACATTTCAAACTTAAAGTCAAGTTCTGCTGGGCCGATTGAACTGAAAGTTGGTAGGAATGATCGCCTCATGGTCCTGACAAAGTGTTGTTATTTTTCGGGTCGATCAGAAATCCAATATGGCCGCCACGGCCGCCATTTTGAAAACCTATTTCAAACTTAAAGTCAAGTTCTGCTGGACCGATTGAACTGAAAGTTGGTAGGAATGATCGCCTCATGGTCCTGACAAAGTGTTGTTATTTTT